ATTTTGTAAATGTTTGTACAATTTTCAGGAGTTCATAAATTCCTTGAGTTGTATATGCAAAATATTATTTAATATGCTTTTAGAAATGCTACCTACTTTCAAAAGGGTGTTGAAGTTAATTCCTCAGTTTTTAAAGTAAATTGTATAAGTGATCCTTTATGTGGTTCACATGCTTAATCTTTATATTTTCTAATTGTTTCATATGGAATTTCCCAAATATTGGTATTAAAAATTAAGAATTGGCTTAGCCGCACTTTGTTGATAATTCTACAACTATTGAATGCAGATTAACTAAAGCCATAAAAACCTTAACTGGAAGATAAGAACAACAAAATTAAATCATTTTTAAAGAAAAAAATGTACAATTTACCAACACATAACAGTAAAAAACTAAGCTCATGGAGCCAGATAATAGAGTGGGTGTATGTTATATATATACGTAGGTTGGGGCAAAAGTCATGGCAACTATTTTTTTCTTGAAGATACCAGTCCGGTTGGAAAAATGTGACATATACAGACAAAAGGACAAAGTCTTAGCTACATCTGTGGACAATGAATAGCACTGAAATATTGTAACACACGAATTTATTATGGTAGTATACAGGGCAATATGACTTTCACCTTGCGAATGATAACACAATGCACATAAAGTTGACATGACAAACCTGGGCCTAAAGACCCTCAGTGTAGTCCCCTGCTACTGTCACCACATGCTGTCAACGATGTGGAAGGCGCTGAATACCATCAGCCTCAGCATTTGCCGCACCATGTGTGAATCGAGTCATCTGTTGACGCACAGCATTAGCAATGTCCTCTCATGTTGCAAACTGCCTACCACGTATTGGTTCCTTAATCTTGGGAATGAGAAGTCACAGGGCAAAAGGTCAGGAGAATACTATTAGATGCTCCAATTCTTTCCATCTCCCAATGTCAGAGTAGCTGCCGTACACACTCTGCTTTATGTGGTCTTGCATTGTCGTGCAGAATTATTTCACTGTCCACAAGATCCAGACGTTAATCCCGAACGCCACGTCGTGCCTGTCGCACCAGGAAGTCCCGGTAGTACTGTGCAGTCACTGTTCTGCCATGAGGAACAAAGTGGCAAACAATGACACCCCTGACGACATATGCGACGATCACCATCAATTCGACTGGGGAAGGATTCTGATGGACCTTCTGCTGCCTTCGTGATCCAGGATGTCGCCACTCCACGAACTGACGTTTCAGTTCTGGTTCATATGGCCTGGCCCAAAATTCACCGATGGCTATTATTCGTGACAAGATTTGATCACCAGTGTGCAAAGTAATTGGAGTATATTGCATAGCGCACCCACCTTTGAACTTCTGTCAGTGCATGTGTACCCACTGTGAAGCGATTTTTGCGTAGCTGTAGCTCATTACACAATATCCTGTGGACAGTGCGTTTCTCGATGCTATTTTCCCTCTCTAACTCCAGTAACGTCTGTCGTCATCCGTAAGGTTCTCGATGACGGCACATGCCAAGTTGGTCTGCACATTCACAGGTCGTCCCGAACGTTGCTCATCACTGTTTGACACACATCCTTGCTGAAACATTCCTACCCACCGTGCTCCTGTATGATACGGTAGGGCATTATTCCCAAGGGTTTTTACTAATTCATTGTGACATTCCATCGCATTTGCCCCTTGGAGAACAGCTATTTTGATGTAAGTGTGCTGCTCAATATGAGTTACTTCCATCTTGCACAACACTCACCAGCTGACTGATTTCAGAGATAAAGGGTATTAAAATTTACAAAAAAAAAAAAAAAAAAAAAAAGCTTAATATTTATTTGTTTACTTTATTAAACATTTCTTTCAATGTAAGTTGTTTAAGTTGCTTCGTTTTTTGTGCTAATACTTTCTCTTTAATTCTATAAACAGACATAATTTCTTGTTCAGTTACAAAGTTCCACCTATCGGAAGCGGTATTTTCTGGTATTCTCTTTAATTCTGTAGACATGAATCTCTTGTTCAAAGTTCTACTGTTCAAGTCCTGTAATTGGTGTGTCGAAAATTCCGACTAACTTGTCAATCAAAATTTTTTTATTTCAGTAACTTCTCTGTCACTTTCTTCACTATCAGTAGTGGTGTTTTCTGGATCTAGAACCATACTACAGATTTCGCCGTCTGTTAATTGATTGATGATTGGGGCAATGAAAAACTTTTGCTATACCATCTTCATTTATTACCGCTTCTCCAAATTTTTTTACAAAATCCAGTAACTGGAAAATTTCACCTTTAGTTTGCGATGTCCGAAAACCTTCAAATTCGCAGCTATCATCTTTATCCTCCTCACAATGAAATATGGTAGCTGGCCATAACTTATGCCGATCATTTTTTAATGTATCTGGAGACGCATCCTCCCAACGCGCATGCGTAAACGCATATAAAAAAAAAAATATTTTGTGGCTTTGATGTCCGGATTATAGATTATTTCGGATAATGGACATTCAGATTACAGACTTTGTACTGTAGTAAGGCTTTGGGGATAAGTCATATGTAATTGGCAAATTTTTGTGTTTTGAAGTGATACCATAATTAATTTACCTCTCAGCATAGCCAATGCACACTATGCAAATAGACTGAAATTTTCTTAAAACACACCTAGGTCAGGGGATTTCATTCTCCTGTTTGAGCGCAAACCTGTAAAATGTGGTGGGTAATAATTTGTCACTGCCTGGATTTGACAACTGGGTTTTTTCCTTCTGCAGTCACTCTTAAGTGGGGTAGAATATGAGGAATTTTCTCTTGTGCTTTCATAATGTAATTGGGAGTACGACCAGTTGGCAGTCCGAAGGTCTGGAGTACGAATGTTCTTACTGTGAAACAAAACTAAGGACCCTACAACCTATTACCAAAATTTGAGAGTGGGAAGAAATTATTTTCTAAACAATTTACCAGTAATATTAAGTTGACTTAATATTGACCAGTAATATTAAGTTATTAAGTTGACTTAATATTACTGAGGTGAAGATTATTTCAGATTACACAATTAGGAGTTAATTTTTTGAAATTAAAATTTGCACCATGTAAATTAGTTAATTTTCAGTTGTCGCCAACAATTAAACCAATATTATATTTCAGTTCTACTATAAAAACATACGTTAAAAAAATCAATGTTTAAAATGACGAAAATTAGTATATAACTAACTGAAATATAAAAATCAATAATAATATTTAAAAACACTTCCAAATAAAGTGAAGACGGCAAAATTATATTATATGTAACTTTAAAAAATTAGCTTAAAACTCCATTGAGGATACCTAGTGCAATCCAATATAATTAATTTAACAGTATTGAAAATATAAACAAGAAGTTTTCAAAATCAAGTTTCTTGTTTTGATTTCACATACTTTGAAATTTTTTATAGCTAAATGTTATCCTTTTGAAAAGTATGCAATTCTTTTTTATTTCTATAAACAAAATTTGGTAACACTTGTAAATCAATATCTTTGCAAATTATTTTCTATCGCTAAGAAGATGATAATGGTTTGTGATACACCTGCATAGTACTTTAAGTAGTTGTGTCCATAGTGTTTAGGTCTCTTATTCATTGTGTAACTTAAATATTTCTGTAAACATATTGTATGAACTTTTGAATTTATAATATTAGTTTCCTGTTTAAAATAATTTTATTATTTAATTCTGTGCGTGAATCAATCGTAGTGAAGAAATGCATTTGAGTTCTTTGCAGCAGTTCTGTGTTCATTTTCTCAGTGTATAATTGTGTTAAAAATGAATAATATATGGTTAATAATCACTTTTGTGTACAGTTTAGAAATTTATATGAAAAATATTGTGCTTTATAACGTATTTCAATTATTTTACCTTTATAATGAGTTGTTATTATTAACCTCAAATTTAAGCCAAATCAATCTAAGGTCAAAGGTGCTTAAGATAATTGGGGAAAGGGCAAAAAAATGTGACCCCCATGAAAAAGCCATTTACTATTTGTAGTTTGTATTAAGTATTTGTAGATGCTTTAAGTGATAATCTATAACATATCCCGATAAGAGAGACGTAGGTTATATAGAATGAAATATCATCTGATAAATGAGTATCTTGTTATCAGTAGAGAGAATGGAATTTAAAGCAATTAAGGGGTGTAATCTAATTTTATGCGGTCAAAATTTTGAAGTTACATCTTTAGTGCGAAATGATTATCAAGAATTAAACGCATATATTTGACCTACTTGGTCCACAGTTCCATACATTTGAATGCTGACATCAGTGTTGTTGTAAGTAAACAGTCTGATATCTGATTTTCTGACCTTCGTGTCATTTTTCAGGACTGAAAGCGAATGAATGCGCTTTTGTAGTGCAAAAGTAAGTAAGAGACACATTTTGAATTCAGATTGTTTTCTTGGAAGTGTGTGGTATGTTATTCGCAAAAAAGTAAATATTGCAAGCCTAGTCGTCTCCTTCGCTATGGCTTGGGAAAATTTGTTAAATAAAAGAAGTAGCTTGAAGGCCTTTTATTTAAAGTAACAGATAAAAAGAGAATTTTATGATATTTTTTATCATTTAATGGTATAATTTGTTAAAATAACCTGTCCTATCCCCCCTTTTTTGTGCTGTCCAATGCATTACATATTTTCTTTCCTTTCAGTATTGTATTTTTCTAATTTTAAAATTTAGATAATCCATTAATTCCATATGTCTAAGCTAATGTACTTTAAAATACATTTAATCATCATTTATGTAAAATATAGTCTTTGGATACAGTAGGAGTAAAAATTATTATTTTCTGGATTTATTAAGCATGATTGGTTCAGTTGGTAATACTGAGAATAAAGAAAACTTTTTAAATAGTTTTTTAGTTAAAAAATTATTTTATGAAACATATAACAGGAATAATTTTCCTTTTTGCATTAAAGAAAATTCTTTAACATTTCTAATGAAATTAAATGGAAAAAAATGTTCTTTCTCCTTTTTTGAAATTTTGTGTAGAATTCAAGAAACATTTTATCTTTTTTAGGACCAACAAGGTTTCATAGACATGATTCTGATTCCGAAAGTAGTGACTCAGACATGGATGATAACAGTGATAATGACTCTTACAGCAATGAGACTGTATTGCAAGATGAACATACAGAAAATAATTCAAGATTGAGTCCTGAAGAAAGCAATGAAGTTGGATCAGAAACTGTTTTGGAGAAAGACAGGCTTTCTGAACGTAGATTAAGTTTTCAAAATCTGAATTCAGATATAAATCTAGATAAATACCAACACCAGAGTTCCAATGTTTTTAATGGTTTAAAATCCACTTGTGATTCTTCAGATTCAAAATCTGAAAATGATAGTAAGTCTTTCAAACATGAAAGAGATTCTGAATACCCGTGGTTATGTAAATCTGAAAATAATTATAATTGCAATCAATATAATAGCACAATTCTTTCAGTTGAAAAAAATTCTGTTAAACAGACTAACACAAGTTCAGGAAATGACAAATCTATTGAAACTTGTAACAGTAATGTAAACTGTGGCCAAATAAAAAACTGTGCAAATAAAAGATCATCTGTAGATCTTAATAGGAATGGAAACTGTGAACAAATGAAAGTTTTTGCAAATAAAAAGCCATCAATAAATCATGTAGTACCTGAAGCTAAAAGATCAATTTGGCTTGATTCTGAAATGCAAAAGGACAGCGTTCAAGAGAAGCATTTGCCAAATGATGCGAGAAGTGTTTCTGATAGTGACAATAAGTATGTAGGTCAATCAGAGCCAAGAAATCGTTTGTCTCAAAATGATTTAAGGTTTGAATTAAAAAAGAGAATGCAAGATTATACCTGTAAAAATACTTCACCTACTGGAAAACAAGATTCTTTGAACCATTGTATTCGCCATCGTAGTTCCAGCCGTGATAGGATAAGTTTAAATCGTGAACGAAAACGTAACCAATCAGGTCGTTGGACTAGGTCTCGAAGTCGAAGTTCCTCATATTCTTCTACTACATCAAGCAGCTCATCATCAAGTAGTAACTCAAGTCCAGCAGTGCGATCAGTTTCAAGTGTTGTGAAGCCAGTTGAGCCTAAGATTATGGAAAGTGCTGAAAGTGAAAACCAAAAGAGTTCTAAAAATGGTCGAAAATCTAGCTTGTCATCGTCGGACCCAGAAAATATTTTTTCTCTGAAAAGAAAAGTTTCAAATGACCAGTACAAATTTTCGTCCATTCCTAAGATGTGTGCACTTAATGCTGAAGGCAAAAATCATGGTTTGTATTTTTCATTGAGTTATAGTTTTATAATGGATTTTATTAATTATAAAAATTTCATGTTCATTATTCCATTTTGTAAGTTTTTAATCTTTCAACCAGCTAAAGATTTGGCCACAAAAGGCCATAAGTAAATTATGGTTTTTATTTATTTATTTATTTATTTATTTATTTTTTTTTTTACAATTCCAAAATTACCTTTTTACTTCGTACCTTAACTCCTTTTCTTCCAGTATATACAATGAAGAGTCAACATATTGTGACCACTTAATCCAAAACCTTGTTGGTGCATTTAGCTCCCACAGCAACTTCAGTACATGAGGGCATGAACTTGATGAGCTTCCAATACCTTTTTATAGTGAATTTAATTTCAGATCACACAACAATTTAATATCCAGATTTGGGGTTCAGATTTCATCAGTAAATGCACATCACAACTGCAGGAGTTTAGTTAAGAAAATTTTATTGCTGTTATTTTTAAAATGAAAACGAAAGTTGAAGGGCTTTTATTAATTTATTAAATGAAAGATTTCTGAAAGCTAGATACTTTATATTTTACGTATATATATAGGAAATAAATTATTATATATATATATACATACATATGTTTAATTTTCTAGTTGATTATTTAATGTATTATCTCTTTTGAAAAAGTAGTTAGAATTCTATTGAAATGAACTTACTTATTAGAATATTTAAAATGAAAGTATTAAAAAGATAAAGTTAAAAGTGAAACTGCAACCAACAAACTAAGTAATTATCATCATTGACTGGAAATTAGTTGCCTTTTCAAGGGGAACTAACTTCTGATCAATTAACGATAATTAAGAAATGCGAAAGTGTTTCATCTTTTTCTCAAGTAAAAATCATGACTGAAAAAAAAAAAAAAACCTTTTAGTAAGATTGAGTTTAAGTTATTGAAATCGATAATTAAAATTCAGTAAGATATTGGTGGTTCTGTAAAGCTTTAAATTCATTCTTTAAATTGGAATATATAATTCTTATAAGAGTTTTATTTTCTTGCTTGGGAAAATTGCTTCCCGACTCTCCCGGAAGTTAAATTCTTTTAATAAATAAAAATATATTGGAAAGAGTTGTAGATGTATGAGTTCCCATTAGTATTTACCATTCCAAAAAAACTTTTAGGAAAAAGGTTTAATTTAGTATACCCATACTTACAGAAAAATAGATGATCTTATTACCTTTAATAATTTGAACAAGATAGAAATTTTACAAATTTGTCCAGAGTGCCTTACTCTTAATAAAGCAAATACTTCACAAAATGTAGTCAACTATCTAGATAGTCAAATAATAAACTATAATAAAAATTCTACGGTTTGGCGAAAATGCAGCTTCAGTTTTAATATATAAACAAAATACATTGGACTTCCATCATTTCCAAGAAAGTTATTAGTAATACTATCTTTAATTAAAAGTAATCAAGTACCAAATAACTTTATTAATCTTTGTCTTAAAAGACTAAGTTTTAAATACTCAATCGAAATCATTTGGCTGATAAGGATATGATAATTTATTCCTAAACCTTTAAAAGGCAAGATATGTTGGATGACTGACTATCAGTTAAAAGATTTGTAAATATTTTAATTACAGTAATTATTATATATAATGTAGAAATAGTTTTTTCTCACATTTCTTTATTGCTGTTATTAAAAAATACCTATTTCATATTTCGAAGTCTGCTAAACAGCTGTTTAGCAGTAAAGATTTCTTTTACTTTTTACCTTTTCTAATACAACAATTAGCCAGAAAATAATTAATTTCTTTTATTTAGTTAGTTCAAAATCAAAATTTTACCAGAAGACTATTACACTCAGCAATTTTCAGATGTTACACTAGCCACTTCTTTTTCCCACATTCTAAAAATAGAATCCAACAAGTTCCTGCCTACACTCTCTCTGTTTACCCCTCCAATCTCCATCCGGCTTCAAATTCCTTTCTGAGTAGGAAAAAAATAACAGACGTATATCAGTTTCACAGCTAGCAGACACCTAAGTTAATTAATACATCATCTGGCCTTTAATGTATATTATGTAAATGTCCTTTTTTCATACGTTTTTAATGTTTCCTTTTAGTCTTATGTGAATACATTTTTATTTACCTGTTCTTCCTTGTTCAGTTGTTTTCACAAAGTTTGCATTGTGTTAATATGATCAAAGGTGAAAGTGTCGATAAACAATTTTTTCGAGTGAGCAAATAAAACTATTATAAGAATTATATGTTCTGATTTGAATAATTAACAATTTTTTCGAGTAAGCAAATAAAACTATTATAAGAATTATATGTTCTGATTTGAATAATTCCATTTTAAATATGCGAATGAGTAAATTCATTTCAATAGAATTCTAACTACTTTTTTTCAAAGGAGATAACATATTTAATAATCTACTAGAAAATAAATTATTTTATTAATTTGCATGTCTAGCAAAAGTATTAGGCAGTTTATTATGAATAATTAACTTGTTTACTTATATGTATATATATTATAAGTAGTAAATCATAAAAATGTGAAACTTAGTTGGTCAAAAATTGCACGTTGAGCTGCAGATTTAAAAAATAGATTGATAAGAAAAGGAGAGTTAAAAAAATAGCTAAATCTGTGAAGAACATTTGAACTACCTAATTCCTGATATTTCATATAAAACAAAGTTAAAACAACAAAATGTAAGTTAAAGCAATAAATTGTACGTGAAAAAACTTACATATTATACAAAAAAAATAAATAAATAAATAGAAAACCTATACAACATAATCAAAATTGGCATGCGAAAAAACCTCAACAATTTACAAAATACTGAGAAATTTTACATATAAAAACAAGGTCAATCTACTCTGTTCAAGGCTTCAAATAAAACTTATCAAGGGAAAAGTCCCTGAAGCCCTCAACCAAGTTGATGACCCACAAACCAAAACGCATGTTTCGTAGAACTAACCCATCGAGACCGAAAACGGCTTTCCTAGTTATTAAAATTTTTTTCATCTATTACTAATGATGTCTCAATAGATTTGTCTCTTTTTCCCGGCGTGCCTGCGTGTTTTAAAATATAAAAATGAACTTAAAAAGATATCAAAGCTATAAGTTTTAAACAAGAAAAAACTTGTAATCTAAAAAACAAAAAATCATCTAAAAGACGTAAGAAAAATCCTATACAAATTAGCCTGGTTGGGTAATGTACAAACAAATCTCAACAATAAATTTTCAGTCTCAATGGGTTTATTCGACGAAACGTGCCTGTTTTTTTTAGGGGGGGTCATCAACTTGTTGAGGGCTTCAGGCACTTTTCCCTTGGTAAGTTCTGTTTCAAACCTTGAACAGAGTAGATTATGTTTTTATATGTAAAATTTCTCAGTATATTGTAAATTGTTGAATTTTTTTTCGCGTACCGATTTTGATTTTGGTGTATAGGTTTTTCTAATTTTTTTTTTTTTTTTTTTTTTTTTTTTTTTTTTTTTTTTCCGGTACAATTTATTGCTTTAACATAGATTTTATTGTTTTACAGGTAATATCAGGAATTAGGTAGTTCAAATGTTTTTTTACAGCTTTAGCTATTTTCTTCTTATCAATCTATATATATAGAAAGAAATACTATATAGTTACAAAATGGGGTTTTGCTTGTTTGGAGGTTTTGGTTTTGAAATTTTTTTTTAATTCTTTGTTGTAATTATTTGAAATTTATTAATTGAGAATTTTAATTTTTTGGTCTTTGTGAAATATTGGTTCTAAATTTCTTACTCTATGCTTATATATGTATATATATAAACCAAAAGTTCATAATAATTTATAAGAAGAAAACTTTCCATATACCATCTCCAAGGAACACAAATTCAATTTAAAACCATGAGTGAAAAAATACTGTAGTCAGAATTTAAGTTAGTATTTTAAATAGTAATTTCAACTTCTTTTTTTTTTTTTTTTTTTTTTTTTTTTTTTTTTTTTTTTTTAAATCTGCAAAGAAAAATCTTTAATCGCAAAAAAAAAAAAAAAAAGTATATTTTAAATATTGAAGTAGTTATTGTCATTGATCACAGATTTATTGACTTATCAAGGGGATAAACCAATCTGTCATCAATTAACAACAACTAAATTAAGAGTGTATTTCATCTTGCTTCCAAGTAAGCATCAAATTATTTGCTAGATTCAAACCATTAAGTCACAATTAATACTCAATCCAAATAAAGACATTAGTCCATTTAAGCCAATAGAATCTTGTTAAAAAAATAGCAAATAATCTTAATCGGCCCAGTATAATGGAAGATATAGGTTTCTGTTAAGAACGTGTTTAATCTGAATGAGATGCTTACTTTAAAAAACATATCCCCTACACTCTCATTTCAAATTTCAAAACAGAAGTAAACATATTAGAACATTAAAAGTTATTGAAAATCATAAGAAGATCAAAAATGATTCAATCTTGTAATAAATTTATGACATGTAGTTAATTAAAAATGTAAAGATCAAACTATTAAGTTAAGATTAACAAACTTCCCTTCAATATTTTAATACCAAATGGCTGGAAATTCAAATATTAAGTGATGGAAGTAAAATGGTTGTCCTAAAGTGCAGTTTTCTATTTAAGAAAGTTTAGCCTAAATTGTTGAGAAGATTGGAATTCTTCTTGGAGATAATACATAGAGAGTAGGCTGTTACTAAAATAGCACTAAAAGCTGCTATTAGTTAGAATATAAATTCAAAATAAAGTAATTAAAAGTAAAAATGCCTATGACTTGCACTAAACTGCAAAGTAATAAACCAATAATTTATAATAAGAAAACTTTCCATATACTATCACCAAGGAACGTCAAATCGGGTTTAGGCATATTGTTGAAATTATTTGCAAAAAGAATCTGCTCATGCACTATGTAAAAAGGTAGGAATGATGTGTAACTTTTTTCCGGACCTGCACAAAGGAAGGGAAAGGAAAATGGGTTGCCATATATTAAGAGGTTCACCAAGTGTATTCTTGATGCAAACTGAAAAAAATATGCCGAGATAAATTTGTGAATTTCTTCGTAAATTTGCGCCAAATTTTACAAAATTTAATATTTTGCCATAATTTGAATTGTATAATCAAAATATGGAAAAAATTGGTATGTTATTTCAGAAAAAGTCTAATTT